CAGGCCCGCCCGCGCCACACTGCTTCCATCATAATCTGTGTATCATACCATCCGCCTCGCTCACCCACCAGAGACACTCTTATCAATCACCTCATTACCACCTCAGACCACCTCAGAGTTAGGTACCCATGTGCCAAGTTAGTATTATGTGGGGATTTTAATGAAGTTGACACCACTGATATCCAGGACCAGCTGTCACTGTCACAAGTTGTGAACTTCCCCACACAGGTCAAATACCCTTGACCTTATCTTAACTGACTTAGCGGACCACTACCAACTACCTCAACCAATGCCTCCTATCGGGTGTAGCACACACCTATCAGTGCTCTGGTCCCCAGCTGCCACTCCCACTCAAGTACAGAGACCCCACATCAAGACCTACAGGCCGATTACTGACTCTGCAGTGCGTCTCTTCGGGCAGTGGATAGTTCACCATCTCTGGACTGAAGTACTTAGTGTGGATGACGTGGAAACCAAATGGATAAATTATACCAACACCACCATGGAAGCTCACCACCACTTCTTCCCCGAGAAGTCCGTCAGATCTCACCCAGCTCATTTGCCCTGGATCACACCTCGGATCAAAAGATTTATGCAACAGAGAGACAGAGCCTTTTATCTCAATGACCACAACCGCTACAGGTCCATTCGCAACCGAGTCATCTCCGAAATACGCACTGCAAAGAAGTCTCACTACCCAACAAAATTGTAACACCTGAAGCAGACCAACATCGGTCAGTGTTATGGAAAGCTTAAAGAACTCTGTGGACTAAACATTAAGACACACCCCCTCCCCTTCCTTAGCCATCTCACTAATGTTGACGCAGCTGAGCAATCAAATAACCATTTCGCTACTATATGCCAGACGCTCCCCCTGCTTGACACAACCAATCTCCCTGCTTACCTACCAGCTCCCTTTCCCACTGACTTAGTAGAAGAATTTGAAGTAGCAAAACATCTGGACAAACAAACGCTCTTCCACCCCCATTGACTTACCAATGAAACTCTTCAAGGAGTTCTCCCCGGAGCTTGCTAAACCCCTCTGCTCCATCATCAATGCTTCTCTCAGTCAAGCCAGATGCCCAGCTGACTGGAAGACTTCTTATGTGTCACCAGTGCCCAAGTCAACCAGCCCACAATCCTTAAACCAGCTACGACCCATTGCAATCACCCCAATACCCAGCTTAATCTGTGAAAGTTTTGTGTTCAACTGGGCTTATGCTGATATTGCAGGAGCCGTAGATCCTCAGCAATTTGGTAATATGAAAACTTCCTCCACCACTCACTGTCTTGTCAGCTTTCTCGACTACATATACCGCCATCTGGAGAAACGAAAATTGTCTGTAGCAGTCGCCTTCATTGACTTCTTTAAGGCATTCGACTCAGTCGACCACAATTTAATCATCAACAAAGCTATCGACCTCGGGTTTCGAAGAAGTCTTATACCATTGCTTACAGACTTCCTCAGTAACCGACGCCAAGCTGTATGCTTCCGAGGGGCTGTCTCCACCTTTCAGTCACTCACCTGTGGCGTCCCCCAATGCACCAAGATGGGACCGCTATGCTTCCTTATGCTTATCAATGATGCCCAAAGAGAAACCCCTGCTCGCTGGAAATATGTCGACGACTCCACCATTGGGATCAGTGTCAACAATTCTGCTCCCGACTATACCGCCCTTCAGGATTTATTGAACAGTCTCCAAAACTGGGCCACCAACAAACACGTCACCATCAACCGTACCAAGACCATGGTTATGCACATCAACCTGTCCTCCGACGTTGTCCCACCCCCTTCCATTACTTTAGGTCCCAACAGACCCCAGGTTGTAGATTCCACTAAGCTCCTCGGCGTCACCATAGACAACAAACTAAATTGGAAACCACACGTCAGTGAAGTTGTCAAATCCTCCAGTTTCTGTCTCCACCTCCTCCACCGACTCGAGTCCCTCGTAGTTCCTGCACCTGAGCTCCTCAGTGTTTACTCAACGTTCATACTTCCCAAGCTCACCTATGCCTCCCCTACCTGGTCTTCCTCCCTAAACGCCACACAACGTAAACACCTAGAAGAAGTGCAAAAGAGGGCATGCAAGATTATTCTCTCCCCTTCCTACTCCACATGTCAAGAAGCGCTCAACACACTGACCCTCTCGGCCTCACTGACCATCACCACGATCTCATCTGCAAATTTGGTGAAAAGCTTCTGCACCATCCTCGACACCGGCTTCTACTACCACCTGAGATCCCTCGCCTGAGAATTGCTGTTCGACACAACAACAGCATCCAGCCCATACGAGCACGAACTGATCGCTATAAGAACAGCCCAGTCCCAACCATTGTAAAAAGTATCAATAACTTGTAATCAACCAGTGTATTCACTCCCAGTCAATCTTACTTTTTGCACTGTCACAATGTTGAAATGCCCTGTAGTTTGAGCTTATCCCCCCACCTAGTTATTATATATCATATATTGTATCACTTATGTTACTTGAATATTATTTGTAAATCAAGAGACCCATTCCCCAATTTTGTAACCGTATATTTTCAGCCTTCCGGCTACCATGCTCTTTCAATAAACCGTGAATTATTATTATTATTATTATTATTATTATTATTATTATTATTATTATTATTATTATTATTATTATTATTATTATTATTATTATTATTATTATTATTATTATTATTATTATTACTTCCCTCCCACCCGTACTTCATGCCACTCCTCTTGTATTGTCTCTTTGATATGAGTGTTTCAGTTTATATAGAGTGTAAGTCTGAGTACGAATATTAACTTCATTATCGGATAATAATGTAGACAATATCCTGCACTTCTCTTCAGGTAATGGCTTAGGAGAGATAATTTTTTTTTTTTTTTATAAATAATGTTGTGAGAAAAAAGAAACAATATTAACATGCAAAAAATTCGGATGACCAAACCTATTTTTACTGGGGTTGATGGTTCGTGTGAGTTACGCTGTCTGTGTCTATGTATTTGGGCATCTAACAAACTGGGTTTTTTTTTAAGTATGTTGGTCCGCAGCAGTAACTTGAGGACGGGAAGAGTTATAAAGTTTACATTTTCAAGAAGTTTTCACCATGTCTTAGAGCCAGAAGGCCGAATCTTAGACAAAACGACCATCCAGCATAAGTTAGCACTTCACTCAAGTGCAGACGTGTGTATAGACTGCCTGTGTTATAGATTTGCAGCAAAATACAGTATTTTCTCTGCAGAAGAAATTTTGAAGTAGTAATATTACTGTTACACAACTGAAAAAATGCATTGTTGAATTAATCTTGGTTATAACTCGGCATAAAGTGGTGCGACTTTCTCGGTCATCAGGATACACCAAATGCCACGAGGTACTGGACTAAGATAACAAGTGAGTGTCACGGAACCTTCTTATGAGGAAATGTTCTTTCTTCAGCTGAGATATATTTTGCAAGAGATGATCGAGCTAATTTATTTTTTCCACAAACACGACGTGGCGAGTATCAAGTTGATTTGTGAAATATTATCTTAAAACTGTGTGTGCTTCATCGTCAGTAATTTTAACACAATCTGCATATGTGCCATGCAAGTAGTAGGTCATCAGGCCACCGTGCCGTCTCCCGCGTGAGTCCTAACACGGGAGAGTTGTGAAGACGCCAGAGAAAAGAATCTTCATCAAACTCGCTGTCTCCTACTGATGTCGTGATAATAACCTCCCAACATTCTCCGACTCACCTCAGTATTAGTCACTACTTTTTCTCATTTGTCTTTCCTTTTAGATTTGCCTTTTTCCATCACCCTTTCTCTTTCTTTTGGTTACCTCATCAGCTGTTCTTTATTTACTTTGTGTAATTTATAATCTCACCGACGTCAAAGCGGAAGATAATTTTCCCTGGTATCAAAGTGTAAGATAATTTGCCTTAATGTCAGTGTAAGATAATTTTCCCTGGTATCAAAATGTAAGCTAAATTTCACTGACGTCAAAGTGCAAGATAATTTTCCTTAATGTCAGTGTAAGATAATTTTCCCTGGTGTCATAGTCACTTGTGTCTTCAAAGCCTAGATAGTTTGGTATTATCTCTGTGTCAGGTAATTATTTTTTTTAAAGAAAACTCACGACTTATCACTTATAATGGTCTCATGTTATTAATCTCAAATCAGAATATTAATTACACCCCAGTTGATATATTTAGGTGGAGTAAACCTCCTCCTCCTTCGTGGCGCTCATGAGATATATTCACTGGTAGCGAAATTGCGATATTTTACAGGAGATAACATTATTTTTCCTAACTATTGACCTTAATTGTTCATTATTAATTTTATTCATATTATTATTAAAACAGGCGTCTATATCGGTAGAATGGTTATGTGGGTTATATGATATTGAAATAGTAGAGAGATAATGCAAAAATATTACTCCCACATCAATACCTGATTCCTGGAAATTCACACAAAGGATGTCAACTTTGTACCCATGAACCTACGCGTCATGTTTTTGGGATCCAGCTTAGTTTGCCATAGAAACAATAATATATATATATATATATATATATATATATATATATATATAAACGTGATTTAAGCTACAATTAAATCTCATTAGTATTATTCTAATTTATTTAACATAATTAATATACAGTATGTAAACTTAAGTAAAGAGATGTACAAAAAGTTTCAAATAGTCCGTGATTTACTTAGTAATTATGAAAGGTTGTTTTAGTAAAGAATATTATAGTAACTTCTAACTTCATAAATCATGATTTATTCTCACGTAAAAAAAAATATTTAGAAATAAGGCGGAGGATATGTATCTCTCACATGATCAGTGTGTAGCATAAGGCGATGCAACATGTGAAAGGAAAACTCATTTAACACACCCTCTTTAAGTTCACGTAGGTAATTATGTTTTACTTTTTGTGTAAGGTTTATCAGCATTAGTACAGCTATAACCAAGAATATCGTCAAAATATGAGCTAGTATATAACATTAACGTCTCCTGTGTCTCCTTCAGGTGCGCATCAACCTGGGGGCGGGCGAGTCGGAGTTGTCATCACCGCCTCGCTTACGGCTCGATGATCTCTTCTGGCACGAAGTCAAGATCACCCGCAACACCGCCGAGATGACCCTCAGCATTGACAATATCCATACCACAAGGTAGGTCATTAGTACCTCTTACACCAGGCAGGTCATTAGTACCTCTTACACCAGGCAGGTCAACATTAATACCACCAGGTTGGTCATTAGTACCTCTTACACCAGGCAGGTTATCATTATCATTATCACCACCAGGTAGGTCATTAGTACCTCTTACACCAGGCTGGTCATCATTATCATCACCAGGTATGTCATTAGTACCTCTTACACCAGGCAGGTTATCATTATCATCACGAGGAAGGTCATTAGTACCTCTTACACCAGGCAGGTCATCATTATCATCACCAGGTAGGTCATTAGTACCTCTTACACCAGGCAGGTTATCATTATCACCACCAGGTAGGTCATTAGTACCTCTTACACCAGGCAGGTTATCATTATCATTACCAGGAAGGTCATTAGTACCTCTTACACCAGGCAGGTTATCATTATCACCACCAGGTAGGTCATTAGTACCTCTTACACCAGGCAGGTCATCATTATCATCACCAGGTAGGTCATTAGTACCTCTTACACCAGGCAGGTCATCATTATCATCACCAGGTAGGTCATTAGTACCTCTTACACCAGGCAGGTTATCATTATCATCACCAGGTAGGTCATTAGTACCTCTTACACCAGGCTGGTCATCATTATCATCACCAGGTATGTCATTAGTACCTCTTACACCAGGCAGGTTATCATTATCACTACCAGGTAGGTCATTAGTACCTCTTACACCAGGCAGGTTATCATTATCATTACCAGGAAGGTCATTAGTACCTCTTACACCAGGCAGGTCATCATTATCATCACCAGGTAGGTCATTAGTACCTCTTACACCAGGCTGGTCATCATTATCATCACCAGGTATGTCATTAGTACCTCTTACACCAGGCAGGTTATCATTATCATCACCAGGAAGGTCATTAGTACCTCTTACACCAGGCAGGTCATCATTATCATCACCAGGAAGGTCATTAGTACCTCTTACACCAGGCAGGTCATCATTATCATCACCAGGAAGGTCATTAGTACCTCTCATTAGTACCTCTTACACCAGGCAGGTTATCATTATCACCACCAGGTGGGTCATTAGTAGCTCTTACCAGGTAGGTCATTAGTACCTCTTACACCAGGCAGGTTATTATTATCTCATCACCAGGAAGGTCATTGGTGCCTCTTACCCAGGCAGGTTATCATTATCATAACCAGGTAGGTCATTTAGTGCCTCTTATACCAGGCAGGTCATTAGTGCCTCTTTTTCCAAGGCAGGTTATCATTATCACCACAGGTAGGTCATTAGTAGCTCTTACCGGGTAGGTCATTGATACCTCTTACACCAGGTGGGTCGTGGTACCTCTTACACCAGGCGGGTTATCATTATCACCACCAGGTAAGGTCGTTGTTAGCTCTTCCACACCGGGTAGGTCATTAATTACCTCTTACACCAGGCAGGTTTATTATTATCTCATCATGGGTAGGTCATTAGTACCTCTTACACCAGGCAGGTTATTATTATCATCACCAGGAAGGTCATTAGTACCTCTTACACCAGGCAGGCTATCATTATCACCACCAGGTAGGTCATTAGTACCTCTTACACCAGGCAGGTTATCATTATCATCACGAGGAAGGTCATTAGTACCTCTTACACCAGGCAGGTTATTATTATCATCACCAGGTAGGTCATTAGTACCTCTTACACCAGGCAGGTTATCATTATCATCACCAGGTAGGTCATTAGTACCTCTTACACCAGGCAGGTTATTATTATCATCACCAGGTAGGTCATTAGTACCCTATATACCAGGCAGGTTATCATTATCACCACGGGTAGGTCATTGGTACCTCTTACACCAGGCAGGTTATTATTATCTCATCACCAGTGGGTCATTGGGCCTCTTTTTCCGACGGGTTATTATTATCATCACCAGGTAGGTCATTAGTACCTCTTACACCAGGCAGGTTATTATTATCATCACCAGGTAGGTCATTAGTACCTCTTATACCAGGCAGGTTATCATTATCACCACCAGGTAGGTCATTAGTACCTCTTACACCAGGCAGGTTATTATTATCATCACCAGGTAGGTCATTAGTACCTCTTACACCAGGCAGGTTATTATTATCATCACCAGGTAGGTCATTAGTACCTCTTACCAGGCAGGTTATTATTATCATCACCAGGTAGGTCATTAGTACCTCTTACCACCAGGCAGGTTATTATTATCTCTCATCACCAGGTGAGTCGTGGTGCCTCTTACACCAGGCGGGTTATCATTATCACCACCAGGTAGGTCATTGGTAGCTGCTACACCGGGTGGGTCATTGGTACCTCTTACCAGGCAGGTTATTAGTATCATCACCGGGTAAGGTCATTGGTACTCTTACACCAGGCAGGTTACATCATTATCATAACCAGGAAGGTCCATTGGTACCTCTTTTACCAGGCGGGTTATCATTATCACCACCAGGTAGGTCATTAGTAGCTCTTACACCAGGTAGGTCATTAATTACCTCTTACACCAGGCAGGTTATTATTATCATCACCAGGTAGGTCATTAGTACCTCTTACACCAGGCAGGTTATCATTATCATAACCAGGAAGGTCATTAGTACCTCTTACACCATGCAGGTTATCATTATCACCACCAGGAAGGTCATTAGTACCTCTTTTACCAGGCAGGTTATCATTATCACCACCAGGTAGGTCATTAGTACCTTTTATACCAGGCAAGTTATCATTATCACCACCAGGAAGGTCATTAGTACCTCTTACACCAGGCAGGTCATCATTATCATCACCAGGTAGGTCATTAGTAGCTCTTACGCCAGGCAGGTTATCATTATCATTATCACCACCAGGTAGGTCATTAGTACCTCTTACACCAGGCTGGTCATCATTATCATCACCAGGTATGTCATTAGTACCTCTTACACCAGGCAGGTTATCATTATCATCACCAGGTAGGTCATTAGTACCTCTTACACCAGGCAGGTCATCAGTACCTATTACACCATGCATGTTATCATCACCATCACCAGGTAGGTCACCATTACCTATTACACCATGCATGTTATCATCACCGTCACCAGGTAGATCATCATTATCAGCAAGATCAAATCATCATTATTATGTACGCCATCAGTATCGGTTTGGGTTCCAGTAAATAATATTTCCTTTTACCTTCACCCCTGGTAGGTCATTAGAGTCAGCTAGGTAGTTAGCTTCACCACCAGGTAGATCACCAACCTCACCATTATCATTTAAGTCTTCATTATTATTCCTATCGTGTGTATCTGTGTGTATATTTCTGTACCATCGCCAAAAATGGAACGAAACATCTCAGTCGTACGTGTACCAGATCCAACCATACCTCCTGGATGAATTATATTGCGTACAAATTAATCTCTAAAATGTTATGAGGGTCACGGTCAAAGGTCATGGTCATGGTTACATCACCACCATCATCACCATCACCAGCAGATACTTCTCGATGGTTGCTGTCGTATAACTACCTTCACGTGTCAACACCACTTGCTTGCTCTAGTAACATTAAAATTACAGTCATTAGAAAGTGTATCTTTGAGAGTTACTATGTAGTCATCATCACACAAACTATAGTATGATACTGGTCACTGGCGCAGCTTAGTTCGTAACTCTGGTCAGATGAGGTTGAACCTTTGCCTTCAGTATCTTCACCACATGTGATTTTACCTTAAGGTCCTTTGTAGGATATTGCTTGTTATTTATTTTTATGATTTTAAAATCTTTTACATTATCCTGTACAAGGTAGTTTAACATCTGCAGGTGCTGTACCCAGTGCTCTAAAATTAACCTAAATTATTACTATCATGAATCATGAAGTGCGGTCTCAAGTTGACTGAAGTCAGTAATAATGTCTTCCTGCTCCTGCTATGTTAAGGATAAGGTTCGTGAACTTCCATAGAGAAGAACACATATAATCCTCTGACAACAAGACACAAACTCCCAGTTTTCCTTAACCTCTTTCTAGTAATTCGTCAACATATTACAACGTGCTGTACATCAACCACACTGTTAACTTTCACTGGGTTGTAAGAAATAAAAACCACGTAATAGATTCTTCTAAACTGAGCCATTTCCTTGGCAAAAATTTCTCCTCAAGTGTAACACCTGTTAGTGTCTATCGTACTTCTTATCCACTGATAACATTCGACAACATTATTGTCTGCCTTAATTGTCAAATTTACGAACAAAGTTATAAAATAAGTTGATATTTGAGGGAATGAATCAATTCAATTCTACTTAATGACAATTTCGATTTAGTAATTAAAATAAAGAAGTGCTGATATTATTATTGTATTATATTGTATAAAATGACGAAGGTAGGTTTATTAGTGCTGTTTCCTTCAGTATTATGTAAGAAGCCTGTGTAACTCCCGCTCTCTCTCGCATAGTCAGTGGAATCAAGTATTATTCTACAATTACATTGTCTGCATAATTAATTAATATTTGAGATAATTAAGAGCACAATCACAATACCTGCATGAGATACACAGATACACCTTCATCACACATCCCCAGAATTGGGTTTACCTTAATATAGAAATTAAAATCACTTTAAATATTTTATTTCTTATTTCCGATGAATTTCTGCCTTCACTACTCTTCACTAGGATCAATGTGTCAGTAGCCTTTAGCTTTGAATTGTAACGTGCAATAATTTTTCTAAAAACAAATATATAGTAGAAAAAAATAATAAAACCTATGTTGTAATTCACCTTTATGATAAGAGTAATGGACCTTACAGCGGCTCTCGTGATAGTAATGTGAAAAATTTTCATCGTAATTTCAGTAATGAAGTGCACTAATACATTTACCGTTGCCACATTTCCACGCATAATCCAGAAAATATACGGTTATTGTGCGCTTTAATTCAATTTGCATGCTAATTGTAAGAGGTGAGGCAGTTTTCTTATTTTTTGTGGGGAATTGGGGGAATTACTTTTTCTAGAGCCTTATAACGGTGGTCATT